TTAAAGCCCCAATCCAGCGTTTATTTGGCCATAAAAAGTGCATTAGTGAAGGTTACAGACAACTTCACTTTCTACATGGACAATAAACTTTTTTAAAACTTTACATAAGCCATCATAACAAAAACTACAGATGTCTTTTTACCTTTTGTTCTGCAAAAATGACTAAAAAGCCTTTAGTGTTTGTGGATTACAGGGTTTCAGCAGGGGGCGCTATACTGTTGTTTTGGATTGGGACTTTAAAATGGGGATGGTTGACATTTGACATTGTAATTTTCCCAATAATTTATTCTAGAAAAGGGAGATTTATTTGACAATTTGTACTAAACCAGTGAATGCCCCCCCCTCATTATTAACTATGAAACTATGAAAGTTTGAATTTGTCAGAAATAATAATATATGTCAACTGTATCTCATGCTCCATATTCTATGTGACCCTCAATGTTGCCAGGCAAGGAGATTATGCTGAAAGGTGCCAAACAGGGTACAGTCTGGGAAACAGAGTCTTTTGTTTCACTGGCTTGTCTGTCTATGATGAAGCCGGGAGATACAGTTCCTAAATAAAGACAGAGTTCCAGTCATAAAGTCATGCAAATGTTATTTCAGGGTACGTTAAACAAGATCTTCTTATAATGTAACACCACCTATGCGTTCTCAGGAGGTTTAACACCAGAAACATTAACTAAACTGGGTGGGAAATTAAAATGACAAAGGTTTTATTCAGTTTAGAAAATCCAAGTTGTGCATCGTCCAAACATTAATTCCATATTCACTTTGTAAGGGTGGTTAGCTCACAGAGGTCTGGACCTGTCTGAACAGACATTTAAGATTATAGGGCTGGCCCTGCTGTTTCGGTCCAGCCAAAAAATAATGGTTAATTTCTCACCCAGTCTGAGATGTGTTAGTTTCTCTCAACAGGAGGTGAAAGCTTTAAAACCTTTCTGGTGAACAAAGTTTAATCCCACATTCAGCAAAATGGAGAATAAGGTGCCTTCAGATGGAAGGATGGTCAAATATAAAATGATCCTAAAAAATAATGTTCAAATGAAGACCACCTCGAGATAATTCAGCATCTAAATCAATTATATATTGATTGTATCCTTTCACAATAGCAAATATCAAGCCATTGTTTTAATCAGGCTGAAGTACTGAGCCAGTGTCTCCCTCATCATCCAACAAAGACACAGAGGAACCTGAAAACCGGACTTAACTCCATCTTGAAGGACTTGTTAACATTGAGCAGGACTGGAGTGCAGAGTTTTGTTGTCATGCAGCACTAAGTGAGATTTTCTTGAACAAACTCATTTTTACACTTTATTTTTGCACTTTAAGTTAAACCTACCATGCCAGTATTGAAGTGTATTTTCTCTTTTTTCTCCCATTGAATCAAGATCACCCGATGTCAGGGCGGGAAGCCCATGATGGCTGGTAGAATGTTCCTCAACCACTTGAACTATTTTACCAGCCGTTTGTACTTTTTCGACTAGAAATAAACCTCTCATTGCTGGTTGCTTTCCGTCAAAGTGGCTGATTTTGTCAGCCTCATATCAGTAATGACCAGTGTTTAACTGGTGGATGGTGGGAAAGTCCTCTGATGCTCTGAATGCAAATATTAATGACACATTTCTAGTTTCCCTGTGATTACGTGAATGCGCCGACTGTAGATATTAACTGTACAGTGTGTTCTATTTTCAATGGGGCCAACAGCATCAATCTGTAACTGAGGTTCAGAATTGCTTGAATTAACAAAACGTATGCTCTAAAAACCACAAGTTCATCAGGGTTCTTCAGGCTATTTGAGCATCTTAGGGTTCCTATCTAGAAAAACAAAACTATAAAAATCCCTAAAATGTTTTTTGTAATAGCCCTTTGTGTTCAAGATTTGTGGAAATGCCGTCACAGATTATAATCAGTTGGCATAGTTCCTCAGGGAACCATCTTGGGTCCCCTGTTGTTTTCAATCTGAAGAACCCCTTTGACTTTTTAGAGTGTGCTGCTGATATTATTATCAATATTGTTGTGTGACAAGCTTCTACTAACATAACGTACTCCTTGGGCTGTTTTGTATTTTTAGCATTTTTCATTTTGTTATGTGCTTACGAGTGTGAGATGATTTTTTTCTTTTCTGATTTGGGCATCTTATAGAGGTACTAAAATCTTTTTAATTTTGAATATGTTTACAACAAAACCAAGAATTTTCTGTGACTAACATACAACTTGTTCTAACATTTTTAATACATACCCCCCCACACACCCCTTTTTGCTCATGTAAACACAAATGCCTGGACACCTCTGAATCATTGCGAAGCCTCAGCGAAGCCTCTCACCAACCTTTTCATGGAAACAAGCAACACTTCTGCCACCAAATAATAAACGTTCAAATAAACAATACCTGTTGAGCTGCTAGGAATTCTATAGTCACTCAGTAGTCACAGCAACACCGTGTCTAATCCAGACTAAAACAATTAACTAAACACTTGAAATAACAAAACAAAGTTCTCGAGGAGCACTGGATCAAACCTACCTCGTAAGGGATTACACAACATTTTACCCGTTCCACTGCATGCCCAAGCTAAAGCAAGCACATTCTTACTGAAGTTCCCATTTTAAAGCATCATACCCATGTTTTTGCATGTTGCACTACAAATTGTATCTACTTTACACAACTGCCAACCGTTTTCCAAATCACACCTTCAGATTTTTTGCTTCCTTCCTTTGGCCAGACTTCCTGCTTTCAGTGTCAACCTATGGTGGCCCTGAGAGCACAATGCACTGCAACTTCAGAAAACACATGCAAATAGACAAAACACAAACAAATTCAGAAAACATCTTCATCAATTTGACAACACATGAGCTGCAAATACTCCCAACACAATGGAAGTGTTTCCATCCATCACTCACGCGCTTTTATTGGGGGTTTAAGCAGCCACAGTGTTGGAACTGTATTGTGTTTTCTGTTTTGTTTTTTTAAATTATTCCCCTGTGGTTCAAGGCTGGAGCATATCATCTCAGTTTTCACTGTAGGATGTCAGCCTAGTGAGTTGTTGCACCTTTGGTTCTAAGTTCCACTGTGTACTTGAACCCCAATATATCCACTTGCAGGTCTAGTATACCTTTATTTTAGTCAGTGTTTTTAACAAAAAATCTTTGGAAAACTCTGACATTTGAGATTTGACAAAGTTGCAGAATAAGTAACTTTTTAATCAAAAATGACCAAACTCTCTCCTTTTTCTTTTTACCATGTCCGTGTTTTTTTATTTTGTCAATTCTGGGGCAGATTTCCTCAAATCTCAAATGTAATGGTTGCATGCAAAATCATGGATTGGCTATGTGCAAGTAAATTGTCATTGAAATAAACTAAAATCAATGCCTGGAATCTAAAACCTATGGTTGTGGAAGTAATGTTAAGTATATGCAGTTTAAGAACATGCAAAAACCGAGGTATGGTTCTTTAAATACTCAATTTAAATATGTTTTTTTTCTGCCCGGGTCTGCTCTCCACTATCAGTTTGCATGTGGTATTTATTACAGTATCTGCACTGAATGAAATTGTATTATAAACATGAATGTACATAACCATCGTTATATAAAAGATAACAATGCAAGTACTCACTTTGCTCGGCAGCAGGCAGTTTGTCTCTGGCTGGGGTTACACCAGGAACAGAAGATTTTTAATGCTAATTGAAACAGATCTGGTCTGACAGCTGCAGGCAAAACAGGGAACATTAAAAAAAAAAAAAAAAAAAATTAAAACACATCAGACCGGGTTCAAATAAAGTTGGGAGTCTTCTGTTCCTGTGTAAAGGCAGTCTGTGTTGTGTGTATCTATACAAGGGCATGGACCGGAGGTCTTAGTTGTACGTAACAACACAATGGACCGCTTTATGGAGTAAAAAATCTTTCTTGTTTATAATGTAGAGCAAAGAGAGACTGGAATAGTCCTTGTAAAATTGTACGAGTACAGTGTCAAATATGTGTCAACAGAGACGACATTATTTTAAAAATTATGTATGGAAAATTTTAGCTGTGTATATAAATATATATTACTTGTACTTTGTTTTTGAAATTGCAGAGATATGGACAAAGTGGAAATATTTATTGCTCTAAAGATATAAAAATCTGTTCATGTTGATGGAAAAATGTGTCCTGTTTTGTTTGGGTGACTACACACACACACACACACACACACACACACACACACACACACACACACAAACACAGACACACAGACACACAATACACCACCTTAGCATAAGAGTGGACTGATATCTTCAAATGATCTGTTTAGATGTTCAGAAACATTTTGAAATAAAGCAGCTTACCAATAATCACAAGCTTATAGGAGCATGTCAACGCTTAAAGAAATACATTCATTTACTTCCGAGCATGAGTTGTTTGCTAGATATAGATCTTATATGTGCTTGTCAAGTACTGAACTGGAGTCAGGATGTTGATAGCTTAGCATAAAGACTGGAAGCAGGGGGGAAACAGTTAGCCTGTCTTTGTCCAATATTAAAAAATACACCTACCAGCACCACTAAAGCAAATTAATTAACACATATTAGAAGTAAACTATTACTGTTGGCTGCATTACTAGTTTGACAGAGTAATCCTTGTATCTAAACCAGTGTTAGAAGAAGGGAGAAAGCCGCAGTTAAGCAAATAAATAATTTAATAATATTACTTGCTAGCAGAATGGTTTAATATTGGTATGTAACATATGAATCTCCTTTGGTTGTCTTTTATTATGAAATACAATATTTGAGTAATCCTTTTTCGGTGTAGATAGGTACAGTATGTTGAGAAAATAGGCTGAAATAGGTTGGTGTAATTATTCTTACATGACACCCCCTAAAGCAGATGTCACTTACAATTTTTCAAAAGCCCTCTGTTATGTAGTAATTTCTTATATTCCTCGAAATGCTAAAAGAAGAATACCTTGAAGTTTTAGTTTAGTTTTATCTGTTATAAGTATAAGTAAGTGTTTCCGCTCGAACCGGAAGTGCTTCTTCTTCGTCTTTTTTTAAACTGCGGAACGTGTTTGTCGCGTTGCTGATTCTCAAAGTTCATAAATGTGGTAAGTTACGTTAATTTCAAACATGGCATTTTGAGTAATCTCACTAACAGGTAGTACACAACCACCTGTAAAAGAACCTGAACTGTCAGTGAAACAAACAGTTTGTAGAAACACAAATTCAAAGGTCGAAGAGTAACTGGGTTAACTAGCTAAGTTAGCCAGTTTGCTAATGCTAACTTTAGCTGGTTGTTGAATGAAGACCGGTCAGGTGTCACGAGAAGTTCAGTTTATCTACGATTAGCTCGTTTGAAGGTAAAGACAGGAGCTGTAATTGTGTTCGGTTCTTGCGTTTTTGTTTGCTGTTGGCTGCTCCTCAGGCCTGCTGCTGTTTTTAGCAGGTCAGTTCATTTTAATGTGTCACTGAGTGAAAGCCGGACGGAGTCAACAGTATGTAGATTTATATGAAGCTAGCTTCTTATCAGTGGTGGAGGAAGTAAAAGTGCTAATACCTAACTAGAAATTACAGGTAAAAGTCATGCGTTGACATTTTTAGTCAGTATGTCAGTATGCAAGTATAATCAGGAAACGTAAAAGTACTTAGTGCAGAAAAATAGTCGCTGCATATTATATAATTAAATGGTCATCAGATCATCAATGTTTTAACAGCGTTTCACTTTATGTGAGGCTGTAGCTAATGTTTTCACCATTAATTAATGCATTGTTTTGCTTGTTAAAATTCAGAAAATAGTGAGAAATGCTTTCACAATAACCCAGAGCCCAAAGTGAAACCATGTTTGTTTTGTCCAAACTCATTCATCAATCATTGTAAGGAAAAGCAGGCATTTACCACATTTGAGAAGTTGGAACCATGAAATCTTTGAATTTTTTCATGAAGAATTACCTTAACAATTATCAGAGTAGTTCAAGGTTAATTTTCTGTCAATTGACTAACCGTTTTAACTGTACTTGTACAAGATGTTGGATAGTTTAATTAAAACAAAGAATCTTTGTTTTATATGTTTTACTCTTGATTTGTAAAGTATTTTTTTCCCTCTGAAATGTTTTAAGTGCCTTAGATTAGTAGTTAACTACTAGTTACTTTCCACCACTAATTACAAGTTAATATGTCACAGACGGAGTGAACAGTAAGTCGTTCTGTGTTAATATGTAACATTATATAGTTATCAACTGTAACCTGACTATTAGGCAAAGTGGCCTCATTTATAAAGCTCCTTTGAACAGTGAACAATTCAAAAATCTAAATCCTCCTCCATGAAGGTTTTAATGTTCAGTTTGTGTTGAAATTGTTTTAGAGATGTGCTGATTCAACTTTAGTCATTTTGGGTGCTGTCATTTGTAATGTTGTTGAACTGTATACTGTAAACACCAGAAATTACCATTGCATGTATCATCGCTCCTATGCCCAAGACATTCCACTTTTAATACACGTTGTCAGGACTGGCTGACCATATGTTCCAGCAGTAAATACTAATCTTGGTAGGACAGCCTTCAGATATCACGCCCCATTTGTGTGGAATAACTAGTATATATATATATATATATATATATATTATTGACTAAGGTGTTTCTATTGTTTTGTCAACCCCATTTGTCAACCACCTCTGTTTAATGCAGGACAGTACAGCACCACTAGAAACTGAACACAGAAACCTTCATACTGTCGTATTAGTTTCAGCTAAGTGTTCCTAATAAATTTGTAAGTGTAGTTTTAGTATTTCTTGATGGTCCAAATGCTTTACCACAACTTGACAAGTATGTGCTGGTGGCATGTAAATATGTCATGAAAATAATAAAATGTATATATTTTTTTACTTCCATCAGAGCGTCTCCTCGTCTGTTTCGATTGGCTGGTTGAACAGAGAGCGATGGCCGGTCCAGAGCTCTTGTTGGACTCCAGTATTCGTCTGTGGGTGGTCCTGCCCATTGTTTTCATCACCTTCTTTGTCGGGATCATCCGTCACTACGTCACCCAGCTGCTCCACAGCGACAAAAAGGTCGACCTGGAGCAGGTCTCTGACAGGTGAGACAGAGTTTGACCTGAGACTAAAGAAATGCTAAACAAGCCAGTGACGGAAATTTGACAATTCGTTTTCATGGAAACATCTCGTAGTTGTGGTGCAGGTTGTAGTTGCTGTTTCTCTTGTGAGCTCTCCTCTTATTTGTTGAGCTGCCTGTCTGAACGCAGCATGTGTCTCTGATCGACTGATCCACGGGACTGGCACTAATCTGAAGTCATGTCGGTGTTTCTTTTCAGTCAGGTGCTCCTGCGCAGCCGCATCCTCCGAGAGAATGGAAAGTATATTCCCCGACAGGTAAATTCACTCACACCTACTGGGATTCAGAGTTTTGGAATTTATTACTTAATAGTTTGGAGCAAACGCAGCTCTGTTGCTTCAAGTGAAATGAAATGAAATATATTGTCTGAAGGTTAATCAGACACAGCACAGAGGTTTATAAAACTCTGTGACAGGGTTTACAGCTTCTACATAATGATTCAAATATTTGAGTTGCACGTGTTTGATTGGCCACATGGGCTTTGACAGTTGAGTCACATTCAACTTTAGCTGTTTCTGGACTTGTACTTTTTGAACAAAGTGGTTTTATTAAAATGAATGAGGGGCTGCCTTTTTTCACACAGTGATAATGTTGGTCTGAACACAGTGTTACTGACTGTAACTGCAGTCATATTGGGGCATTTTTTCTCTTTTGAATTGTGATAAACACTTATTGTTGTCTAAATTAACAAGCACTAAGGCTAAACATTTGACAAAGTTTCATGTTAATTCCACAATCAGGAACAGGTAGTTTTTTTTTTTTCAGGTATGTTTTATTTTGAAGAGTAGGATCTTCATCATACACAGCATCCAGATATACACACGTCCCTTTCCTTTTAAAACAAACAAACACACCTCAAACAGATAAATATCATAGTAAACAATATCTGTGAAGTGGATCATTTATCAAGAGAGAAAATAGTCTTCGCTACACAGAGTACAGAATGAACAACAGAATAAGAGCAGAGTAACCCACTCCCCACCCCCTGACCCACACCCCCAGGAGTGCTGCCTATACTGTTGCTTGTAGTGTAGTTTATACCATATACAGAATTTGAGATATTTTAGCCTTTCAGGTTGGAAATTAATTGAATGAAGTCTGTAAAGTAAGAGTTGATACTGAGCTCCTTGCAGTCTCCCCAATATCTTCAAAATAATGTAAATATCCTCCAGAAGTTCTGCTAATTTGGACACAGGATGTAACTGTGTAATAAGGTGGTTTCTGTTGTCACATTTGTAACTTCTGTTGGCACACTGTAACTTTACTGAACTGTTATTTTGATATATCCTGCTGTTGTAATAAAGGGATAGATTTATTACCTTTATGTTGCCAAGGTCTGTAGAGATGCTGTGTGAGTGAAGCATATATTTTAAAATTAAGCCTCAGTTTGATTGATTTGATAAACACCAAGTAACACATGATATAAGAACAAATGAAACTTCAAAATCTTTAAGTATTTGGCGCAAATAATTTGACAGAATAAGGGAAGAGTAGCTGATTATGTGTCGTAGGCCTTTATATTAAACGGTCTCACAGTGGACGTGTGTCTAAACATGTTGAACCACAACACGTTTTCACTTTTTCAGTCTTTTGCCATGAGGAAACATTATTTCAACAACGCAGAAACTGGCTTCTTCAAGAAGGTCAAGAGGAAGGTCGTCCCCAAGAATCCCATGACAGGTGTGTGGCCGTGGTGTGTGTGGGTGTTTACAATGTTTACTTTGACGTCTCCAGATCTTACCAAATGTATTTTTGCCGTTGTGCTTCAGACACCAGCATGTTGACGGACATGATGAAGGGAAACCTGACCAACGTCCTGCCCATGATTGTGATTGGTGGATGGATAAACTGGGCTTTCTCTGGATTCGTCATAAGTGAGTTCTCCTTCTGTCGGTCATTAGCACCATCATACTGTTTATTTTGACATCAGATATTAATCCAATCTTTACTATTGAAAATGTGCATCTTTGTTTGTCTTTGCTCATTAACTGTTGGGTTTCTCTCTATAATACTGTATGGTCTTACCCTGTAAAGTGCCTTGAGATAATGTATGTTATGATTTGGTGCTATACAAAGAGTCTAAAATTCTTGACCCTCTGAAAAAAGCTCTGATTAATAAATTAGCTGTCAGATTTGTCAGAAGTTTTTATTTAATTAATTGTGCTGTTGTTCCGCTCGTTAAATGGACAGTTTCCTGTCTGAAGTCTTTGTCCTGCACTCGCTCGTATGTGAAAAGCCAATTACGTTTACACACAGCCAAGAAAGGAGGAAACCAGTAAACATGACATTTAAGAAATCAGGGCACTCCAGAAAGGTGAGACACATCCTGAATGAATCACTGGAGCCGAAGACATGAAAAGACATCAAATGAAAAGATGCATTGTGGGAAATGTAGGTCCAGTGTTTTGTAGTTTAACCCATACTAGTGACTAAACGTCAGCATGTCTCATGTCTGTTACTTTGATTTTTGTAACCTGTGTCCTCAGAGTCCCACAACTTAAATAACAGAGTTATGATCCTCTTTATCTTCCACTCTCTAAATTATAGGATTATGAATAAATAACATTCACCGCAGGTTTTATTATTTCATCCAGAGACTGTTCTGTGATAAATCAGATTCATATTCATGATCTTAAGCCATTATGTTTGTCTCATCCTCTGTTGTTGATGAATAATTGTTTGTTGTTGTTGTGATCCAGCCAAGGTGCCGTTCCCTCTGACTCTGAGGTTCAAGCCGATGTTACAGCGAGGGATCGACCTGCTGTCACTGGATGCTTCCTGGTAAAAAATTAATACTGAAAGCAGCACAGAGCCTCAGCAGCACATACAGTCTGTTACAATACACACATTTACCAACAATATCCTAAAATTGTGTTTAGATGATGGTAAAGTGCATCATTTACTTATAACAATTTTTCTCTGTATATAACAAAGCAGTGGAAATCTGAATTTGTCTGCTAGGACCAAAATATTTCTTTAACACCCACAAGCACAGTTTGTTAATATTCTATGGAGAGTTCAAATGTAAAATAAATTAAACAATCAGAAACAATTTTTTTTTTTTTTTTTTTTTTTACAGAATATTGTGTAATAATATATTATTGTGTCATATATATATAATATGATATGGCCTCAGTCACAATGAGTGGAGAACTCATCAGAAGCATCAGATCTTGACATTTAAGAAGCTGGAACCAGAAAGTATTTGGCACTTCATCTTAAAAAAACACTCAAACAAGAACAGTTGATTACAGTCATTTAGAAAAATGTTTTTTGTGAAACTACGTTTAAAAAAAAACATTTTTACATAAAGCCTGCTGGAATTAAATAAAAATGACTCAGTACTTCATAACCGCTGGTCTGAGTTTAAAAAAAGATTATACACTCTCATGTTAATATATTTCTGTCTGTGTTTACTCCTGTTTTTATAAAGTCCTGTTTATTGAATTACTGGACACTTTGTTTCTCCCCGATGTGCAGGGTGAGCTCAGCGTCCTGGTACTTCCTCAACGTGTTTGGACTGAGGAGCATGTACAGCCTCATACTGGGACAGGACAACGGTGAGCTTCTGTATCCCACTGCCAGTTTCTGACCTTTGACCTGTGACCGTGTTGTTGTCTGTGTCTATGCAGAAAATGCACTATAGGTGACGTTGCACACAAGACCAATACAGTGGAAACACTGGACCTCAGTCGTGAAGTGCCTGAACGCATCAATTTAATCTTAATTTGTGTGAATAAGAACAAAATGTATGAGTTATCTCACCCCTGTTAAACTTATACACAGATTCCTCTTATGGTTTGTGGTCAGGTCCAGCCATGAAACTGTTTTAATACATTGATTTTCTAAAATGTGTGTTAAATATGCCCTTAGTTTTCCTAATTCACATACACAGGTAATTCACCTACTGCAGCTGTTTCTTGCTCCACTCTCCCTTTCTTTACCAGAGTCTCTTGAACACTGTCTGACTTGCAACAAACTATTTAATGCAACCTTTTTGGTACTACTGCTTCAGATCCACTCGTCCTGCTCCGACATATCTGCCTCACAAAAAAGATGTGCAAAGATTTCTCCTGCTTTCAAACACATTTTAGAGACAATGACAGTGTTTGTACAGAGAAGTTTTGTGAAAGAGATTGAAAACATCTCTCTCATTTGTTAAGACTCATTGTAACTGAACATAGATAATGTTTTTTTGCGTGTGTGAAAGAAATACAACAGACCAGTTGAAATGCAGCTGCTCTTTAAATCATTTCCTGAACATCTCAGTAAAATGTTTCAGTTCGCTGTTGCTTCCTGAAAAGTTTGTTTTACTTCACACTTCAGACGTGAAGACTGATGGAAGTTTGTCTGTTTGATGTGTTAACTCGTAGCTGCTGACCAGTCACGGATCATGCAGGACCAGATGACAGGTGCTGCCATGGCGATGCCCCCTGACCCCAACAAGGCTTTTAAGGTGAGATACTAACAAAGAGAATGACAGTTAGTCAGATTAAACAAATGGTGAAAGTTCTTTCACTAGTTTGGAACAGACGGTGATTGTTTCCAGAAAGTTGAGAGAGGTGTGTTGAGAGGGTTTCTTTTTGTTAATAAAAGAACATTTTACTCATTTATATTTGACTATATAACTTTTGACTCGTCAGCTCCGTTGCCTCATTAAATAAAACCTCAGCCTTCATCTCGCAGCAAAACCTTCAAGTTAAATCTCAAGTTAATGATAAATGGAACAGAAACTCTGACTCCAGTGTGTTTCATCAGACCTCAGTTGTTCTGGGATTGAACCCATCTTTACAGACGCACTGACATGTTAAATGCTGATGTTTGTTTTCAGAGCGAGTGGGAGGCGCTGGAGATCGTGGAACACAAGTGGGCACTGGAGAACGTAGAGGAGGAGCTGATGTCCAGAGACCTGAACTTTGGAACTTTCTTCAGCCAGGACATCAAGTCCACAATGTTCTAGATCAGCCAGGACCTGTGAGCTCTGCTAGAACCCAGATACGAGAACACAGGGCCTGCAGGGTGTGTGAAGGTTCTGAAGGTTCTGGAACACAGTACACACAAATCCTAGAATTAAAGAAATGAAGATGTGTCTGAAATCAGTCTTCACTACCTCAGGCTATTAGCCTTTTGGTGAACCTCTAGACTAAGTGTGTAAAGGTCATGTGCTACATAGTGCCTTCACAAATTTACACAAAGGAACAAAAGTATATTACACATAATGACATGGACACGACTGCAGCTCTTGTTACGAATCAATGCAGAACTTGAACTTCGCTCCTGAGACATGCAGATGCAAAACGACGATTCAGTGTCTGAAATTCAGTTTAATAACTCACAATGATAAATCATGACATGGCCGATGTTTTTATTAAACATTTTGTCAAAAATTAACTTAAATGGGTCTTGAATACATCCACTTACAAACATTTTCCAGAGCTTTCCAAACAATCACAGTCTTCATCAAATATTAGGTTGTTGCCTCAGTTGTCATCAAGAGGTGTTGGTATACATCTAAAAAAAAAAAAACACTGAGTGTACCTTAAGTAGATTTTTTTTGTCAAACGAAGTTTCACATTCAAAATTTACACGCAGTGTTTGTGTGCTCAGTGTTCCAGAACATAAAGATTTTCTAAGCAGGCTTTTTAAATCCTCCTCACTCTCCAGCATGGAGCAGACAAGTTTTTAGAATGGATCCCAAAAGATCCCAAAGACCAGTTTGTTTCAGTAAACCAGCAGATCCTGGACCAGGTCTTTGTGTCAGACGAATCCTCTCAGGAAGATGTTTCTGTTGATCACAATGCAGGAAACAGAAGCGACGTTTAAAGAGACCGGGACGTTTGGAGAGGACGGTGTTTTCATGTTTTCATCCTGCAGAACATTTTGCATGTACTTTTCTACACTGTGGTCGTCCAGCTGCTGTTGGTATCCACGGCGACTAGAAGTGAGTGCAATAGTTAAATAAAGGTGCCATCACAACTAACTGGATTTCTCTCGTTTGTGTTGTACAGCTTCATGACTCAGGTTTGACGTTCCTCCATAAGCAAATGCTTTTCCATCAAACCCGGTGAGCAGATCGATGCTTCAGGATCAGGTGATTCTGTTTTAGTGGTGATGGGCTGTATTTGCACAAACATATATTTGTGTGCACAAGGTGGAAGAAAATTGATTGTAATTGAAATGAACCACAGTCGAGCTGTTCACTCGTAGACAAGGTAAAAAAACACTTTCATTTTATCTTTAGTTTTGTAGCTTTAGGCCATTGGTTCTGTTGGTAATTACAGTACAGAGTACCTTAAGTGCTGAGATACCTGAACTGAAAAACAGGATGTAAACAAACCCACAGGTTAAACAGTGAAATAATGACCTCAGCTGTCAGTAGTAAACATCCATCAGTTTACAAACTTATTTCCTGATTCCACTTTAACCTGACGTACATGTGTCCAGTTTCCCTGTTCAATTACGAATTGTTACTGAAATTTCAGCTGTGTGTTTTGGAAGTAATGTAAAGATGTAAGATGAATGACTAACAGCTCCCGTAAAATGGTTGTGGTGTAGACAGGGTGACAAAAAATTTAACAAGCCAAAAGTGTAAAAACTCTCATGTCTCGTGACAATAATCATCCTTTTATTCATATCAAAAAAATTGAAAGTACAATAAAATATTTTCATCTGATATTTGACAGGGAAGACCAAAGAAAGAAATTGCCCAAAGCTTCCCTCCCGCTCCACCCAGGAATGAGAATAATAATAATACATTTCTTACAATACAAAAATACTGTACACAGAGCCGGTTTAAAAATCAGCGAGCGCTCACTCTAACCACAGAGACAAAACTTTGCCTGCGTCCGTCTCTCTGCACAGACTGGAAGAAAATTAAACTTACTGTCATTCTGTCAGATAATTACGCCTGAATCCAAATTCTATCCATAAATACAAAAAATAAGCATCTCAATGTCCTGCACCAATTGATCAATAAAATCGTTCAAGAAAAAAAAAAACTAAAATAAAACTAGTAATGTGACAGCTGAAATTAAAAAAATAAATACAAGAGGAAACAATCAAAATATACAAAGACAGATTAATTTATCATCCCTGGCAGCTTTGTTCAGTATTAAATTATCTATTTATCTGATATAAACACACTCCTCTGATTACCCATCATCCTCTTTAATGGTTTTGTACTGAAGTCTGTTGCACATTAAACCACCACAGTAACTTATCTGCTTTCATTTGAAAACATGGAAAGAGAAAAAGTTTTATCAGCTACTTATTTTGTATGCAGAGAATTCAAGTTAATTTATAACACGAACTATATAACTATAATTTAATATGTAATAGTTATTAGTTGTAAAATTTGGTGTCAGTGTTTCAAAAGCTGGATTTTTAATTGCAGAATCAAATGGTAATGAACAAGAAGAAATAAACAGAAATTCACCAGCTCTAACTGCAGTCTTTAACCTGGTGATGTCACCTGAATAATTACAGGATTTGTTCATGTTTAAAATTTAGGGCTGAACAAATGGATGCATTAAAGAAACACCTACCATAACTTGATTAATTAAGTTAGTATTTAAAAGATGTGCTGTCAAAGTCAATGAAAAAAAACTTTTTGAAATTTGTCTATTTGACAATTGATTATTTGACTTCCCTCTTCTGTCTTTTAGACGATGAATTAATCAATTTTAAAATGGAATCACAAAATTTATTGATTTAAAGTTGAAGTCTTTTAAATTGGACTCATGTTCCATTTAGGAATTTAGGAGTTGCCAGTCATTTTGTGATTACTTAAATTGAAGACTTGTCTAAAACTAAATGCAATCTGCTTGTTCAACAGAGGGGGGTAGAGTCTGATTTGTGATCAATTTATTAAGTAGATAATGACCAAAAAAACAGACACAATCAATATAGTTAATGGCATATATTGATGCCTAATTTAATAAATGTGTATAACTTTTTCATGATATTAACAGAGCTGGTCTATATAGGTTGAAAAAAGCCTTTTAAATGAATTTTGTAATACCATTTTAAAATTCAATTATTCATGGGTCATTAAAAGACAGCAAAAAAAAAAAAAAATCTTTTTTAATATCTGAATGCCAATTACTCACTTTGTAAAGTGAGTTCAGTATGATTTGATTCACCAATAAAGAGCAGATCAATTTATTCATTCAAGAGGATTAACATCAAGTACTGTTCTATTACCTCCCTGCAGCCGTCAGTCCAACCCCGATTTCTATATTCAAGGTCTAGGTTTGGCTCAAATCAACAGTCTAAAACTGATCCCCTCCCTCCCCATCAAACTACCTGAGATTCATGGAGCCATGAGCTACCAAGCAGAGAAAACTCACCAGACAAGATGTTGCCCAGCAAAAACCAGCATTTAGAGCAAAAAAAAAGAATGAGGAGATCTGAAATACAACCTGCAAAGGTGCTTTTGTTGTCGTGACTAACGGGGGAGAGTAGTAATCAAAGAAAGTTCACGTGTTGTTGAAAATTTGTAAAAATACGAAATAAAAAAAGACGTTCTGGAGAGGTAAAAAATATGACAAAAGGCCAGAATTAAGTTCAGTCTTTAGCGTTCATTTAGTCCGTTTCCATGGTGACATAGGAGGTGGCACCCAGCTCTGCATCGTCATCTTTGCAGGAAGTGATGTCGTTGGTGAGCTGGGTGGAGGAGGCAGGGCTTGTGCTGGGGGTGGGCAGAGTGGGTTTTCTGATTTTGTCTTGTCGGTGGTAAAACAAGACGTAGGCAGCATTGGTCTAAGGGGGAGAAGAAAAAACATCTTACTGATATAGACCTTTAAAAGCTTCAGTTCAGAGTCACATGCTCATATGTAGAGTGAAGCATTATTATTGTTGTTATCAATCTCTGTTCATACTACTACACTAAAACGTACTATAATACAACATTTTTTATGCCATACTATGCACTTTGACATTTTAGGCCTTAACATACTGTGACTTTTTGTGACATTTTTATGCCCAACAATAATGTGACCTTTTATGATGTTTTTATATCTTATTATACTGTGACCTTTTTTGACAGACATTTTTTTTACATTTTCATACCTTAGTGTTTATGGCATCTTTGGACATTGTATGCCTGAATATAATATGGCCTTTTCAGATGTTTTTATGCCACATTATACTACGATGTTTTATGACATTTTTATGCCATACTATACTGGCATTTTTATGCCTTAATATAATATGGCCTTTTTTGACCATTTTATACTATGACCTTTTTTTTCTTTTTTCTTTTTTTACTTTTTATGCCATGCTATACTATGATGTTTTGACGTTTTTATGCATTAATATAATATGGCCTTTTTTGACCATTTTATGCCTTAATATACATTGACTTTTTATGCCATATTATACTACGATGTTTTATGACCTTTTTTGACATTTTTATGCCTTAAAATGATGTGACCTCTTTTGACTTTTTTATGCCTTAATATAATATGGCCTTTTTTGACCATTTTATGCTTTAATATACATTGACTTTTTATGCCATATTATACTACGATGTTTTATGACCTTTTTTGACAATTTTATGCCATACTATACTATGACGTTTTTATGCCTTAATATACATTGACTTTTTATGCCATATTATACTACGATGTTTTATGACCTTTTTTGACAATTTTATGCCATACTATACTATGACGTTTTTATGCCTTAATATACATTGACTTTTTATGCCATATTATACTACGATGTTTTATGACCTTTTTTGACAATTTTATGCCATACTATACTATGACGTTTTTATGCCTTAATATACATTGACTTTTTATGCCATATTATACTACGATGTTTTATGACCTTTTTTGACAATTTTATGCCATACTATACTATGACGTTTTTATGCCTTAATATACATTGACTTTTTATGCCATATTATACTACGATGTTTTATGACCTTTTTTGACAATTTTATGCCATACTATACTATGACGTTTTTATGCCTTAATATACATTGACTTTTTATGCCATATTATACTACGATGTTTTATGACCTTTTTTGACAATTTTATGCCATACTATACTATGACGTTTTTATGCCTTAATATACATTGACTTTTTATGCCATATTATACTACGATGTTTTATGACCTTTTTTGACAATTTTATGCCATACTATACTATGACGTTTTTATGCCTTAATATACATTGACTTTTTATCCCATATAATACTACGATGTTTTATGACGTTTTTATGCCTTAATATACATTGACTTCTTATGCCATATAATACTACGATATTTTATGACATTTTTATGCCTTAAAATGATATGACCTTTTTTGACGTTTTTATGCCATACTATACTATGACATTTTTAGACGTTTTTATGCCTTAATATAATATGGCCTTTTTTGACCATTATATGCATTAATATACATTAACTTTTTATGCCATATAATACTACGATGTTTTATGACATTTTTATGCCTTAAAATGATATGACCTTTTTTGACATTTTATGCCATACTATACTATGACGTTTTTAGACGTTTTTATGCCTTAATATAATATGGCCTTTTTTGACCATTTTATGCCTTAATATACATTGACTTTTTATGCCATATAATACTACGATGTTTTATGACATTTTTATGCCTTAAAATGATATGACCTTTTTAGACGTTTTTATGCCTTAATATAATATGGCCTTTTTTGACCATTTTATGCATTAATATACATTGACTTTTTATGCCATATAATACTACGATGTTTTATGACATTTTTATGCCTTAAAATGATATGACCTTTTTTGACATTTTATGCCATACTATACTATGACGTTTTTAGACGTTTTTATGCCTTAATATAATATGGCCTTTTTTGACCATTTTATGCCTTAATATACATTGACTTTTTATGCCATATAATACTACGATGTTTTATGACATTTTTATGCCTTAAAATGATATGACCTTTTTTGACATTTTATGCCATACTATACTATGACGTTTTTAGACGTTTTTATGCCTTAATATAATATGGCCTTTTTTGACCATTTTATGCCTTAATATACATTGACTTTTTATGCCATATAATACTACGATGTTTTATGACATTTTTATGCCTTAAAATGATATGACCTTTTTTGACATTTTATGCCATACTATACTATGACGTTTTTAGACGTTTTTATGCCTTAATATAATATGGCCTTTTTTGACCATTTTATGCCTTAATATACATTGACTTTTTATGCCATATAATACTACGATGTTTTATGACATTTTTATGCCTTAAAATGATATGACCTTTTTTGACATTTTATGCCATACTATACTATGACGTTTTTAGACGTTTTTATGCCTTAATATAATATGGCCTTTTTTGACCATTTTATGCCTTAATATACATTGACTTTTTATGCCATATAATACTACGATGTTTTATGACATTTTTATGCCTTAAAATGATATGACCTTTTTTGACATTTTATGCCATACTATACTATGACGTTTTTAGACGTTTTTATGCCTTAATATAATATGGCCTTTTTTGACCATTTTATGCCTTAATATACATTGACTTTTTATGCCATATAATACTACGATGTTTTATGACATTTTTATGCCTTAAAATGATATGACCTTTTTTGACATTTTATGCCATACTATACTATGACGTTTTTAGACGTTTTTATGCCTTAATATAATATGGCCTTTTTTGACCATTTTATGCCTTAATATACATTGACTTTTTATGCCATATAATACTACGATGTTTTATGACATTTTTATGCCTTAAAATGATATGACCTTTTTTGACATTTTATGCCATACTATACTATGACGTTTTTAGACGTTTTTATGCCTTAATATAATATGGCCTTTTTTGACCATTTTATGCCTTAATATACATTGACTTTTTATGCCATATAATACTACGATGTTTTATGACATTTTTATGCCTTAAAATGATATGACCTTTTTTGACATTTTATGCCATACTATACTATGACGTTTTTAGACGTTTTTATGCCTTAATATAATATGGCCTTTTTTGACCATTTTATGCCTTAATATACATTGACTTTTTATGCCATATAATACTACGATGTTTTATGACATTTTTATGCCTTAAAATGATATGACCTTTTTTGACATTTTATGCCATACTATACTATGACGTTTTTAGACGTTTTTATGCCTTAATATAATATGGCCTTTTTTGACCATTTTATGCCTTAATATACATTGACTTTTTATGCCATATAATACTACGATGTTTTATGACATTTTTATGCCTTAAAATGATATGACCTTTTTTGACATTTTATGCCATACTATACTATGACGTTTTTAGACGTTTTTATGCCTTAATATAATATGGCCTTTTTTGACCATTTTATGCCTTAATATACATTGACTTTTTATGCCATATAATACTACGATGTTTTATGACATTTTTATGCCTTAAAATGATATGACCTTTTTTGACATTTTATGCCATACTATACTATGACGTTTTTAGACGTTTTTATGCCTTAATATAATATGGCCTTTTTTGACCATTTTATGCCTTAATATACATTGACTTTTTATGCCATATAATACTACGATGTTTTATGACATTTTTATGCCTTAAAATGATATGACCTTTTTTGACATTTTATGCCATACTATACTATGACGTTTTTAGACGTTTTTATGCCTTAATATAATATGGCCTTTTTTGACCATTTTATGCCTTAATATACATTGACTTTTTATGCCATATAATACTACGATGTTTTATGACATTTTTATGCCTTAAAATGATATGACCTTTTTTGACATTTTATGCCATACTATACTATGACGTTTTTAGACGTTTTTATGCCTTAATATAATATGGCCTTTTTTGACCATTTTATGCCTTAATATACATTAACTTTTTATGCCATATAATACTACGATGTTTTATGACATTTTTATGCCTTAAAATGATATGACCTTTTTTGACATTTTATGCCATACTATACTATGACGTTTTTATGCCTTAATATAATATGGCCTTTTTTGACCATTTTATGTCTGAATATACATTAACTTTTTATGCCATATAATACTACGATGTTTTATGACATTTTTATGCCTTAAAATGATATGACCTTTTTTGACATTTTATGCCATACTATACTATGACGTTTTTATGCCTTAATATAATATGGCCTTTTTTGACCATTTTATGTCTGAATATACATTAACTTTTTATGCCATATAATACTACGATGTTTTATGACGTTTTTATGCCTTAAAATGATATGACCTTTTTAACATTTTATGCCATACTATACTATGACGTTTTTATGCCTTAATATAATATGGCCTTTTTTGACCATTTTATGCATTAATATACATTAACTTTTTATGCCATATAATACTACAATGTTTTATGACGTTTTTATGCCTTAAAATGATATGACCTTTTTTGACATTTTATGCCATACTATACTATGACGTTTTTAGACGTTTTTATGCCTTAATATAATATGGCCTTTTTTGACCATTTTATGCCTTAATATACATTGACTTTTTATGCCATATAATACTACGATGTTTTATGACATTTTTATGCCTTAAAATGATATGACCTTTTTAGACGTTTTTATGCCTTAATATAATATGGCCTTTTTTGACCATTTTATGCCTTAATATACATTGACTTTTTATGCCATATAATACTACGATGTTTTATGACATTTTTATGCCTTAAAATGATATGACCTTTTTTGACATTTTATGCCATACTA